TTGGCATGTGCTGTGACCAGGGATTGAACTCACAACCTTGGCATACCAAGTAGATCCCCTAACCAACTGAGATACCTGGCCAGGACCATGTATATATTTTTTCTTACAAAGTATTTCTTGCATAAAAGGAAATTCAGAGTAAAACACCACAAATACTCACTCACTAAAATATCACGGCAGGAGACAGGGATGTACACAGGCCCCTCCCACAGGCACCCTCCCCCAACCCTAGATATGTATGCTGTCCGCCTACTTCTGAAGGTCCCTTGTGCAGCACGTACTGCCCAGGGCCTCTGCAGGGGCCCTTGTCACACCTGATGGAACATGGTTAAGCTCTCACTTCCCAGGTGCCCAACGGTGTCTCCTGAGAGGCCTCAGGGAACTCCTCAGCTATCCTGTCCCCTGTGATTGATAAACCAGTGTCAGGCCAGTGCTCCCCCTCCCCAGTGGACAAAACCTCAGGAGACCAGGACAGGGACCTGATGGGGGGGTGGGGGTACAGAGGGTCACCCCTGCTTGGAAGCCTGACCCTTATGAAGGAAGTATAAGAGGGTGACATGACTCACCAGGGCTTTCTTGGTCAGAGGCTGGGTGGCCATCCTTCCAGCGCCCATGGTGACCAGGGGACGGGCAGGCTGTGTGCAGAGAGAGAAAGAGAAAGGCACGCTGAGACACCAGGTTGAGGCCTGATGCACAATGCGGACAGGAGAGACAGCTTCACCCATTAGAAGGCAGGCAGGCAGACAGGCACAGGAACACATGCTGACAGTGAACGCATAAGGGGGTACGGCATCCAAGGCACTTGACAAAAGTGCCTTGACTCCGATTTAACCCTCCTGACACCAGAGTGTGGGGGGCTATTTTCACTCGTCCCATTTTACAGATTAGGAAACTAAGGCCCAAAGAGATAAGCCATGTGCCCCAAAATGACAGAGCTGGGATTGGGGCCGGGCGCTGTATGTCTGATTCACGTGCTCGGTGCATGTCACACTCATACTGACGCTCCCCCAGCAAACACGCATGCGCACACTGCCTGCTTCATGGCCTAAAGGGAGGAACGGGATCTTCTGCTTTTGGCCTGGCTCTGAGCGCTGGACCCGGGCCCTAGATGACACTTCAACCCACCCTCGGTTTCCAGAGCTCCCACAGAAGTGCGGGATTACTGTGAGGATCAAGGGAGACATGCATGTAGAGCCTGAGGCTGCGTGGCACACAGTAAACTCAGTCCCACCCTCGCTCGGTAGCTCAGTTGTTTGAAGTGTCAACACATACGCCAATAGGTTGCGGGTTTGATCCCCAGTCGGGGTGTGTACATAGGTGGTGGGTCTGATCCCCGGATACCTGGTTGGGGTGTGTGAGTGAGGCAAATGATCAATGTTTCTCTCTACTTCTCTCTAAAATCAATAAATATAAACGATGTTTATTGTAGCACTGTTCCTAGAAACAAAACACCAACCAACTGACAGAGATGTGCGGAGGACAGAAGGCTGAGTGTCCAGTCTGAAACCCCAGGTCGCCTCCAGGCAGTGACTTCATGATTTTTTAAACAGAATTTAATTTTTGCAAATGTATTCTTTCTAGTCCTGCAGCATCTGACTCCTATCCCTGAACCACTAAGTCAAAAACAAAAACTTCTTTTGCCGGAAAGAAAGCCACCAGAGCCAACTTACGGAGAAGGCGCAGTGGTCCCGGGGCTTCTGACACCTGTGGGGCCCTAGAAAATATCACCATTTCTTTCAAAATTCTAAGAAAAATAAGTATAATCCAGTCTGGGCTATATTTGTCCATATAGCAGTGCAATCAGAATTCTTTTACTTTATTTAAAAAGAAGCTATGAAGGCACAGTGTCCCTGGAAGTGGCATGTGTTCCAGGCCGGTGACCTCTGCACCCAGTGTGGCCGCAGAGCCGGGGTGGAGGCCCCTCCTCCTCTGTCCACGCTTTCCGGCATTTCCGTCTGTCCGCTGTTTCTCGGGGAAAACAAGGATTTGTGATTTGCCATTTGTGGGGTGGTTGGTGTGGGGGCTATGGATGCCTGGGTGTTGGGTTGGGTGATTCACTTAAAGTCTCTGAGCCTCAGTTTCCCCACCTGCAAAATGGGAATGATGAGGGTCCCTACCTCAGACTTACTGGGAGGCCTATAAAATGCCCCAAACGATACCCTGAGCATCGAACATGCACTCCGTGAACAAACCCATGCAGGTCAGCATGGGGCAGGGGCTCTGACCCTCTTCCTTAGCCCCACACCTGGCTGCCACACACGTCTTGCCCTCCCAGGCCAGGGGAGGCTCTGGGGGCGGGAAGGAGACGGCTCTGGGGCCCGCAGGCAGGCAGCCCCGCCAGGCCGCCTGTCCAGGGCGGACGTGTTCTCCACGCCCTCGGGAGGGCTCCTCCGACGCACCCACGCACACACCAATGTCAGTCATGCCCAGAGACAGAGAGGCAGGTGCACACAGACAGGGTAAAGCTTGGACAAGAGAATCGCCCCACATGCACAGACACACTCCCACCAGACACACAGGCAGGCTCAGAGCAAGAGACCAGACCCGGGTGGACGCCTGGATGGCGCCCTCGCGCTGAGACACCGGGGACCGAAACAAAGGCAGACACGCACCAAACGGACCCCGCAGAGATCAAGTCAGGCAGCGGACACACACGAGAGCAAAGGCGAGACACAGGAGGCCAGCGGGACACACGCGGTGACAAATACGGCGATACGCTCACAGAGACCTCCTGGGAATCTCAGCGCCACACACACACACACACACACACACACAGCCTCAGGCATCACCTTCACCTGCACCACCCTCCCGGATCCGCATCTGTTCCCCAGTGCTCATGCCCCTTCCAAGGACACGCACCCTATCTCCTCGGGCCCCGCCTCACCAAGCAATTCCTTCAGATAAAGGACCGGCTTCAGCGAGAAGCCCACCAGCCGCGTTGACCTGCCGACTACATTTCCCAGGAGCCCAACTGAACCAACGAGAGAAGCGCAGGACCGCAACATCTCCCAGAAGCCCTGGCAGCACCACGTTCAAGAAGGCGAGGTTCAGCCCTGTCTGGTGTGGCTCAGTGGACTGAGCACCAGCCTGTGAACCAAAGGGTTGCTGGTTCAATGCCCAGTCAGGGCACATGCCTGGGTTGCAGGCCAGGTCCCCAGTAGGGGGGCATGCGAGAGGCAACTAAACATCGGTGCTTCTCTTCCCTGTCTTCCCCTCTCTCTAAAAATAAAATCTTTATAAAGAAGAGAGCTTACAGAATTCAGGGGGGGGGCGTGATCCGCCAGTGATCAGAAGACAGAAGACAGTGCTGGGGAGGGGGTAGTTGAAGAGGGAGAGAGAGGACTGGGACTAGGCAGCAGTGCGGTGGTTGGAGGGTGTGGAGGGCAGGGAGGGGGGAGGGCGACAGGGAGAAGCGCGAGCTGGAGAGGGTGGGGGAGGGTCACCCAGGTTGCTCAACTCGCTCCAGGCCGCTGTCCGGCTTCAGGCCGCCTCCTGGGCAGGCGCCATGTGCGATACAGGACCATTGGGAGAGGCGCTCCAGTGCCAAGAGGCCCCGCGAACACTCGTGGTGGCCAGGTTTGTAAGAGTACGTCCCTTTCTTCTGCTGGGTTCGTATTTGTTTGGGGTGTAGCACGACCTGAATTACCAATTAACCTCCCAGTCTTTGGTGTGTACCTGGAAGGTCCACCAGTGACCATCGTTCTTTATCCCCAGAGTAGACTGACAGGCTACTCTTGGGTCCAGCAACTCCCCTCTGCGACTGTTCTGACCTCTATGGTACATGTGTTAGAATATAGTAAACCAAGACGGAAGGCAGGATACACTTTTCAGCGGTTGATTCAGCAGCCCTGAGCCAGGCATTAACACCACAAGGGAAGACAGCACAGGAGAGTACTCTTGAAATTCTGTGTGCCAGGAAAGGGAGCCTGTGTAGTACTTTCCCTAGGCAAGAAAGCAAGCCTTTCTGCTCTGGCTGGTGTGGCTGACTGGACTGAGTGCAGGCCTGTGAACCAGAGGGCCCCTGGTTAGAGTCCAGTTTAGGACACATGCCTAGGATGCAGGCTAGGTCCCCAGTTGTGGGTGCATGAGAATCTGATCTTTCTCTCCCTCCCTTCCTCTCTAAATAAAATCTAAAAACAAAACAATTGAAAAATAAAACATACTGCTCTCTTAAGAGCCAAAAAAACCTCTGTGATTACACCCAAAAGAAATTAGCTGGAAAAAAAACACACAAGTGTATGCAAGTGTTTGCAGCAGCATTACTGATAATAACTAAAAAGTGGAAATGACCCAAATGCACACTACCAGATAAATGCAGTCATAATAGCATAGAGTCAGGAAAAGAGACACCTGCTAAAACACAGACAACCATCAAAAATGTAACTCAGCCAGACACAAGAACCACATGTGTCCATTTATAAGTGTCCAGCCCTTGGCTGCAGAGTCTTCTGTACAACCAAATCTGCTTCCTGGCCTGGTTGAGGAGCGTATGGTTGGCAACTGCTCAGTTCTTCTGACATCGATGTTTTCTCCCTTCATCTCTCTCTCAAAACAATACACGTATTGTCCCAGTTCAGTTTGGAATCCAGTGGCGGATGGGTAGAGGATGGGCAGAGCAGCGGATGGGTAGAAATGAGAGCGAAGGTTCCTTTTCAGGATGATGAAAATGCAGGGTAGGGTTTATATGGAAAACAACACCATAAATAATACAAACATAAAATAAACTCTGTGTTTCACGTACTCACAACTGTAAACCTACTCTGGCCCACCCTGTATTGTGAAAATGACTGTGGAGATGGTTGCACAACCAAAACCCAATGAATTGTACGCGTTATGGTGTGTCGGGTGTATCTAAATAAAGATGTTAAGAGGACATGACAAACCAAAACTCACAGGTTAGGAAACCAATGTGTTTATACAGCAGAACAAATTCCAGGTGGAGAGAAAATACAAGTTCATTGCTAATACACTAATGGTAATGGGAAAAAAGACAGATGTAGGTGGTGAGCAGCCCATGGATGGAAAAGTGCGTTCTCTGCTTAAAAAACAATGAAAAACACTGGAGGGACAAAGAGAGAGATTGGACTTTTTAAATATGTAATGCTTTTGCACTTAAAAAATATATAAAATAAGTAGACACCCTAACCAGTCTCATTGGACATCATCCTGCAAAGAAAAAGTTTGTGGGTTTAATTCCCGGTCAGGGCACACGCCTAGGTGGAGGGTTTGGTCCCTGGTCAGGGTGCATACGAGAGGCAAGAGATCAATGTTTCACACTCATTATCAATGTTTCTCTCCCTCTTTCTGCTTCCCCTCACTTCTCTCTACAGAATAAATAAATAAAATTAAAAATATAAAATAAGCCATGGCTGGTGTGGCTCAGTGGGCTGCAAACCTAAGTCACTGGTTAAATCACCAGTCAGGGCACATGCTTGGGTTGCAGGCCAGGTCCTCAGCAGGGGGTACACAAGAAGCAACCACACATTGATGTTTCTCTTCTTCCCCTCTGTCTAAAAATAAATAAGACTTAGAAAAAAAGAAGAAAATTGCAATAAAAGTGCTTACAGTGGCTTTTCTAAAAAAAAAATCATTATGAGAAACCTTGGTATCAGAAGAAATTATTGTTACTTCCTAATTCTGAAAAAAAAAAAAATTTTTCAAGACCCACCTGGTATCTTCTACAGCTTATGAACTTGGGGCCTTCCAACTGGTGTTGCAGAGAAACTAGGGGCTGTATGTGTGGAAAACGAGCAAACACACAGATGGGAACAACCCGATCTCTGGATTAGATCCAGGTATGTGTGACAAACTGCCCATGTGCCCATGGAAACCACCTCCTCCTATTCATTCCTCCTCCCCCACCTCCACTTTACTATATAGGAGATGGAGACCCTGAGGCATTAAATGCTTTGTTCAAGCTCATGGGCCAGTTCACTCCAGCTTGGTCTGCAGCCACGTGCCCCTACCACACTCCCAGATACCTGACCTGTAACGGGGCTTACGTTCCATAGGGCCGTGCAGATGCTGCAGAAGCAAACAGTGAGTATGACGTGGTCCGTCTCCAGAGCCCACATTCCTGTGACTTGTCTGGGTAGGACTTCTCTTGTGTCCTACCTGTGGGATCCAAATGTCAGTTTTGAACTTGCCCATGGCCTCGAGACCTGCCAGTCTGAGATGCCCCACCTCCCTGCTATGTGTCCTGTGAGGCTGAAGTTCCTCAAGGTTCTCCCCTATTTGACACACTTGTAGGGCTTGTCTCCCATGTGGATCCTCTGGTGAAAAGAAAGCAATAAGCTCCCGATGAAGGTTTTGCAGCACTGGCTGCGCTTACATGGCTTCTCTACAGTGTGGTCCGTCAAGTGCTTCTGGAGACGAGCATGTCATGAAGTGCTTCTGACAGATGGAGCACCCCTAAGGCTACTACTCCCTGGTGTGCACGAGCCCGTGCTTCCTGAGAGAGTGGTTCTTCCTAAAGGCCTTGCCACACTGGCTGCACTTGTAGGGCTTCTCTCCAGTGTGCACGCGCTGGTGGTCCCTGAGCGAGGAGCTTTGCCTGAAGGCCTTGCCGCACTGGTCACACGTGTACGGCTTCTCCCCGGTGTGCAAGCGCAGGTGGTCCTTGAGCGAGGAGCTTTGCCTGAAGGCCTTGCCACACTGACCACATATGTACGGCTTCTCCCCAGTGTGCGTCCTCTGGTGCAGGATGAGGCACTCGTTCTGGCTGAAGGCCTTTCCGCAGTCCCCACAGGAGTACGGCTTCTGCCCAGTGTGCATCCTCCGATGCACGATGAGGCTCCTGTTCTGGCTGAAGGACTTTCCACAGTCCCCACATGTGTAGGGCTTCTCCCCAGTGTGTGTCCTCCAGTGCAGGACGAGATTCCCTTTCTGGATGAAGGCCTTGCCACAGTCCCCACATGCGTACGGCTTCTCCCCAGTGTGCGTCCTCTGGTGCCGGTTGATGTGAGCCTTCTGGCTGAAGGCCTTGCCGCAGTCCCCACACACATATGGTTTCTCCCCGGTGTGCACTCGCTGGTGGATGGTGAGGGAAGACCGCAGGGTGAACTGCTTACCGCACGTGGTACACGAGAAGAGCTTCTCCCTGGTGTGGATTCGGTGATGCTTACCCAGGGACGACTTATAGCTGAAAGCCTTGCCACAGTATCTGCACTTGTACGTCTTCCTCTCTGCACAAAGCTGCGAGGGAGGACTGCGGCTGGAAGTACCCGAGTTTTCCCCACACATGGTGAATGGGTGCGCCCTGTCTCCTCTCGGTTCTTCTGATTGCAGTGGGGCCGGCGTGGGGCTTTGGTGGACAAATGCATTAAACTGACCCTGAATGTTTTCAGGGGCTAACACTTGGGGCATGTCCAAATTTCCCAGAGTGGTCCCTGGACTCCCCTGTTGCTGCCCCGCCTGGTCACCCTGTGTCCCTGCTCCTTCACAGGTATAACCCTGGGCACCATTCCTCATGGGTCCTTCTTCCACCACTACAACGCATGGTTTGTCTTCCCGTTTGTCCTCCTGTGAGTCCGATTCTTCCAGGTCAGGTCTAGTTTCTAAGTCTGAAGTGAGGGGAAAAGAGACGACACACATGTAGTTAACAACGCGGGGAGTGAGGATCTTCCCAAGCTGTGACAAGGCACAGCCTGATGGCAGAAGCCAGCCTGTCCTGGGGACAGAGGGAGAAGAGAAGCAGTGAGCTAAGGCAGTGAGTTGTAGGGAGGTGAGCACAGAGCAAGAAATGTCAGTTTGGGAGCGGGTAGAAAGGTGGCCAGCTGAGCTCAGAGCTGGAAGGAAAAGACCCCGAAGAGGAAGAGAAAGAGGAAGAATGTGGGCTTGGAGGAGTGGATCAAAGGCTCCTGCAAACCCAGTGATGATTCACTGCACCCAGCTCCTCACTTCCAAGCCTTGCCCTGTGCTTCCCCAGCCAGCTTGGAGTCTCAAAGCATCGACTATGACTACTAACGATAAAGACAGACCTGACTCTCCCATGGGCGAGCTGGTTGCCCTCGGTCTCCCCACCTGCCAGCAAAGCTCACACCTTCCAAAGCTGCCTGGGAGCGGCCTGGCCGCTGGGCTGGCACCTCGTCCCTCCGCTCAGCACACTCGAACCTCCCCGCTAACCACACCCACTCCAATACCCTCGTGCCTTACTCCGTGGGTTCCTCAATCTCTGTTTCCAGCCCAGGGGGATGTCCTGAGTTCAGGACTCTACATACGGACTTTAAGGTTCATCCAAACATTTAAAAACTATGAGGTCTGCCCTGGCTGGTGTGGTTCAGTAGAGTGAGTGCTGGCCTGCAAACCAAGGGGTTGCCTGACCGATTCCCAGTCAGGGCATGTGCCTGGGTTGTGGGCTGGGCCCCCAGTAGAGGGCGTGTGAGAGGCGACCAGACAGTGATGTTCCTCTTCCTCTCTTTCTCCCTCCATTCCCCTCTCTCTAACAAATACATACGTTATAGAAATATATAAATAAAATAAGATAAAGTCTTTACAAAATAAAAATAAAAAAAGAAAAACTGAGCTCTTACACAAAAATCTCATTAAAAGAGGAAAGATCCCGCCATATGTACCCTCCTTCCTGGAGGCGACAAAGCGGGCGTGGTAAGCAGCTGCCTCCCTACCCCGACTAAAGCCCTCGCTGGCACCACAAACCCTTGAGTTTGAGACCCTCCCCTGGGTCTAGACCTGGAACAAGCCTTACGTTCATCATCAAGTGGAAGGATAAACACATGAAGTCTACCCCTGAAGCAGACTATTACTCAACAGTGAAGAGAAGTCAGCTATTTCCTCGGCCGTGTAGCTCGGCTGGTTGGAGCATTGTCGCGTGCACCAGAAGACTGCAGGTTGACCCCAATTTAGGGCTTGTATAGGAAGCAACTGACTGATGTCTGTCTGTCTATCTGTCTCTCTCCCCCCCCATCAAAAAACAAAGAGAAAAGAACAAAAAAAATAAAGGGAATGATTCATACATATGGTTGGTGTTGAGTGAACCTCACAGAAATGATGCCAAGTGTAAGAACTCAGATTAAAAAAAAAGATTATGTGGCATATGATTGCACGTATATAAAATTCTAGAATAGGCAACCTAACCAGAGTAGCCATGGGGGATGGAGAGTGGTCAAAAGGAAAGAAAAACTTCCTGGGCTAATGGACACATCTGCATCACAAGGATGATTTTCCAGGTGAATACAAAAGGTAAAATGCATCGCATCATTCGCTTTAACTATGTGTGGTTAACTATAGGTAAGTTACACGCCCTGAAAAACTGTTAGACAAATGGGACCTTTCCCATTCTGAAAATTCAAGTTTTTCCTGAATAATTATCCGGACACATCTTTCTGTGTCAGTGACTACAAAGGGTGCTCATCTTTGAAGAGTGTCGTGATTCCTATCATATTTCTACACCTGGATTTGTCTGGTCAGTCTTTTAAGTGAACTTCTCTTTATTTCTCTTTATTTTTCTTACTATGAAAAACTCTGCACACATATGGAAAAATTTTAAGGAATATATTACAGAAATGAATCATTTGAAATTTAGCTGAGAACACAAAACTGTCTTCCTGAAAAGTTGTCCTAACTTCACACAAATAAAATGAGGAGTCCTTGCACTGACTGCTATGGCTCAGTGGACTGAATCGCAGCCTGCAAACCAAACATCGCTAATTCAATTCCCAATCAGGGCACATGCCTGGGTTGCCAGCCAAGTCCCCAGTCATCTCTCTCACACGTCAGACATTTCTCTCCCTCTTTCTTCCTCCCTTCTCCTCCCCTTAAAAATAAATAAATAAATAAATAAATAAATAAATAATAAATAAATAAAAAATAAATAAATAATACCAGGAGTCCTTTTCCTACACCCTCATAATACAGGATGCTGTTCCTCTCTGTTTTTTATGCCTCAGCTGAAGAAATGCTTAGACAGGGAGGAAGCGGGTAGTGAGGGAGAAGTGGAATGATAAAGAAAAATTCATGAGAGAAAAACAATGATCAGTTGCTTCCCGGCTGTGCCCTGCCTGGGGATCAAACTCACAACGTAGTTATGTATCCTGACAGGAAATTGAACCCACAACCTTGTGGTCTGGACAATGCTCCAACCATCTGAGCCACACCCATCCAAGGCTGGTAGTCTTTTCATCTCTGCGCACCTCATGGGCAAGAGTGGTATTTCTGTGACTCAATTGGTACTTCTTTGACTATAATAGTAAGGTTTAAAAATCTTTTAAAAGTGTAATTTCATGCATTTCTACAACTGTGTTTGCATGCTCATAAGCTTGGTCCAACTCTGTATCATTCATTTGGTCTTTTTCTTGTTTAATCTTTGCAGCTCTTTATGTATTTATAATCCTGTAACTATAATACACGTGGTAAATACTCTTTTCCAGTTCATTACCTATCAACTTTATATTTAACATCCTGTAATCTGAACATCCTACATGCCCAATCTGCCCAACTTTTCCATTTCTCTGTCATCCCGAGGTGACAGGCAGATGGTGAGTAATGCAGGGAAGCTGCCCCCTTACCCAGCGAGACCAGGTTCCAGTAGGTCTCCATCATCACGTCCCTGTATAGGTCCTTCTGCGCAGGCTGCAGCTGCTGCCACTCCTCCTGGGTGAAGTCCACGATCACATCCCTGAATGTCACCGACCTCTGTAAGAGGAAGCGCACACCACTCACCGCAGAGCCCTCCTCACAGTGGTTGGGAGAGGACTGGGAAGGCACGCAGGATGCATCTGACGTGGTGTCAATAAGATGTGGAGCTCTGGAGGTCCTGACCACTCAGTGACCTCAGTGCCTGAGCACACTGGATCATCTATGGATAGGCAAAGAAACTATGGGGCTGTTTACCAGGAAGAGAAAAAAACCCACTTAAACACTGGACAAAGGGCCTGAACAGACACTTTTCTAAAGAGGACATATATACAAACAGCCAACAAACATGAAAAAAATGCTCAGCGCCACTCATCATCAGAAAACTGCAAATAAAAACCACAATGACATATCACATCACACCTGACAGAAGCCCCACAAAGGACCCTCAATCTGGTCCATACCATTGTGACAAGTGACTGAGCAGCACTAGCTCTAGGGATATCCAAGAAATTGGAAGGGGTGATCTGAGGTTGAGTCCATGGGGGGAGATTCTGGGTGGGGCTGGTGGTTCAAGACCCAAGGCTTAAACAGCAGATGGGGGCACCGGGGACACCATTGCTAAAACATCCAAATCAATAAAGTTACAGGTGAAAATGTAAAATGTGTCTTTTACTTCATGGAAGAAACATAACAGACTTTTTGGACAAACCAAAAAATACACACCTTTAAAATAACCATTGAGGCTACAAACTAATCCACCACCTCCCAAAGTTTCCTCCTGCCCCGCTCTGTTGTTGTACTTATTTCAGTTTAATTTTTTCAATACAATGCCTCCTGAAAGGCGACCTTAAGTCTGCCTGCCTGAATGAACTCACTCAATGAAATTTTTACGGAGAAAGTTCCACACACCACGGCTGGGTTGGGACGGGCTGAAAATCAAAGAAGGTCCTGGGCGTCTGGGAGCCCACACAGAACAATAAGGGTGTACAGGTGAGACACGAGGCCCCTCGTCAGAAGGGTCAGGAGATTATCCTAGAAATGGGGCTTCCCTCCAAGTCCGCCAAAGCCCTCTGTGGGTACATGACTGAGGGCACTGATTGGAGGGCTTCAACAACTGTAATGGCATAATCAATAAAATATATTTTAAAAAATAAAGTAAAATTCTTGTCTAACGGCACAAACCACTTTGGCACAAGATAAACTTCCCCCAGTTCCAAACAACTAATATCAGGCTCTATGTTTTTAATCCTCAGTAGAGCATATATTTATTGATATAAGAGAAAGAAGAAGGCAGAGCGAGACACTGATTTCTGTCTCGTGCATGTGCTTCAAGCAGGTACTGAACCTGTAACACTTTGATGTGCGGGACGATGGTACAACCAACTGAGCGACCCAGCCAGGGCAGGCTGTATTTTTAGAGAAACCAGAAAGTAGTAACACTAAAAGAGTTTAAGAAAAAGCAATTGAGCTCACTGGACTAACTACCGGCCTGGGAACCAAACGTTTGCTGGTTTGGTTCTCCAACAGGGCACATGCTTAGACTGCAGGCCAGGATG